GCTACTTGCATGCTTGCTTGGCCAAGTTAGGTTTTGCTCCTGCGTGGATTGACACTGTTATGAGATGTGTCACCAAGGTCCGTTATGCTGTTCGAGTCAATGGTGAACTCACTGATCCGGTGGTACCCTCTCAAGGCATCCGCCAAGGGGACCCAATTAGTCCCTACTTGTTCCTCTTGTGTACTGAAGGTTTGTCTAGTCTGCTATTCCAGAAGGAGTGTTGTGGCGAGCTACATGGAATCAAAAACGGCCGGCAAGGCCCTCTTATCTCACACCTCTTATTTGCGGACGATAGCATCTTCTTTGCCCAGAGCGATCAACGTAGTGTGCACTCATTGGATTCGGTATTATCCTTGTATTGTGAAGGTTCTGTTCAGGCCATCAACAAGGAAAAGTCCTCTATCTTTTTTGGTCGACACTGCCCGGAGGAGGTCAAAAACAGAGTTAAAAACCAGCTGGGGATTTTCAATGAGACTTTTCACGATTCTTACTTGGGCATGCCTACGGAGGTTGGTAACTCACCCACCAGCACCTTCAAATTCTTAACGGACAGAGCCTGGCAGAATATTTTTGGGTGGTCAGATCGGCCGTTGTCAAGGGCTGGGAATGAGACGTTGCTGAAATCTATCACACAGGCTATTTCAACCTTTGTCTCGAGCTGCTTTCGCCTTCCGGTTGCAGCCTGTGAAAAATTCAAGCAGATTGTCTCCGATCAGTGGTGGGGTAGAGAGGATGGAAAGAAGAAAATGCACTGGCGTTCCTGGTCATGGTTGACAGCCCCTAAGTCTCTCGGGGGTATGGGTTTTCGTGATATGGCGTTGTTCAATCAGGCTCTTCTTGGTAAACAAGGATGGAGGCTTCTTTCTGAACCAGGTTCGATGTGCGCCCGTGTACTGAAAGGCAGATATTACCCAAATGGAAACTTCTGGAATGCCTCCGTGTCCCGGTCTGCTTCGGCTACCTGGCGTGGTATTATTCATGGCAGGGACTTGTTGAAGAGAGGGGTTCAATGGGGTATTGGCAACGGACGGGACACAAAAATTCTGTCGGATCACTGGATTCCGTCTACGCCTCCGGGTGTGCTGCAGCCCCTGTCGCCTATTCCGCCCTCTGCTACGGTCCATTGCCTTATGCGGGAGGAAAGGGGGGAGTGGGACGCGGACACTGTCAGAGCATTCTTCCCTGATAGAGTGGCGGATGACATCTTGCAAATCCCGATTGCCAGGAGTGGTGGGAATGATTTCCCTCGATGGCCTTTCACGAAGCTTGGTGTTTACACTGTCAAATCTGCTTACAATATGGCACGAACTAACAGTTTTCTGAATGCTAGGAGCAGGAATGGCCTCGGCCAAGGCTCGAGCTGGCCGGACGAGGAGGAGTTGTGGCAATCCTTATGGCGTGTCAAAGTACCCAACAAGGTGAAGATTGTTTTGTGGCGTTTGGCTCACGACTGCCTCCCATCTGGGGAACAATTGCGGCGGCGCCATGTCCCTGCCAGGACGGACTACTGCTTCTGCGCTCGGCCGGAGAGTGTGGAACACGCCCTGCTGTTCTGTCCTCACGCCCGCGCGGTGTGGGACGCGCTCAAGGACTCCTTCTGCATTAGCCTCCGCCGGTCGTCCTTCTCTTCCCCCAGGCAGTGGCTTTTCGACACCCTGGCTGGCTGCTCTGACAAGGAAGCGACGATTGTCACCATCGCTTTATGGCATATATGGGAGGCGAGGAACGAGGCGAGGAATGCACCGGTGCCATCGGCGCCGGCTTCTACGGCGTCCAGGGCCAAGGTATATATTGATCTGATTTTCCAACATCTCTACAAACCAGTCCCTATTTCCGGGCGTGGGATTCCGTCTTCAGAGTGCAGTTGGGCTCCACCGCCGCAGGGTTCAGTGGTGGCCTTTTCGGATGCTGCGGTGTCTGAGGAAGGGTAGAAATCTGGTTTAGGGGTGGTGGTGCTAAACCATGAAGGTGCTTGTGTTGCCGCTTGTTCTGAACCCATGAGGGGTGTGCTATCTCCAGAAGTGGCTGAAGCTTTTGCTCTCCGGCGTGCCGTCAAGCTTGCTCGGGAGATGGGTTTTGATGATGTTATCTTCAACACGGACTGTCTCTCTGTGGTGCAGCGCTTGCACTCTCCTGCCAGGGATCACTCGGTGGTTGGATCCATTCTTGCAGATGTCAAAGATTTGGCTAATGGCCTTTCCTCTGTGGCTTTCCAACATGTTCGTCGGCAGTGCAATGTTTTAGCTCATATCTTAGCTAGATCTAGTTTGAACTCGTCTAGTCTTTGTGTTTTTCTTTCTGCTCCGGATTGCATCCGGGAGACTCTATGTAAATTTGTTGCTTGATCAATAAACCCGACGTTCTCTCTAAAAAAAAAGGTCCGAGATAAATTTTAAAAAAATGCGAACATCAATGTTAAGTCTAGAACTTGAATTTTGGTGGGTCGGAGATACCACTGTCCTCCTAAGCATCTAATCGCAGATTGGTTCGCCTAAGAGCCTAGTATTAGTTCGTCTGCTAGGGTTTTCTCGTGCCGCCGTCGTCGCCATCATCTGAGAAATTTAGGTCCCCTCGCCTCCAGCTGACATCTTGGCACTGCGAGGTGGGGGACCTTAGATCTTTAAGACCTTTATGTCCTTCGTTAATGTCTAGTGATCACCATAGTTTGTGAGAATAAATGTTCTCTCATCCTTTTTATGGTGCCATGAGGTTAAGAGAGTTTTCTATCATCGCAGATCCGATAGCTCTTTTTTTAGTCTGATTCTTTATAGGTGAGATCTTTCATCGACACCATAGTGAAGATAGTGATGCGATGGCCTGCACTTCTAGGGATCATTCCGGCCCAAGTACGTTTATCGATCATGGCTTTCCATCTCTTTGGATGGGGGACTCAAGGCGCTTTCAAAAACCATTATTGGAAATGTTTGTGCGGGTGAAAGAGTGACAACATCGTTGCTCCGGTCCAATTGTAGCATCTTTAGCGAAGTCTTTAGAGTATTTCTTCGAGCAGAAATTGTACAGCGAAGAAGGTGTTCTCAAGAGATTTCATTGTAATTCTTAGTTATAGGAGTTACTTTGTATATTTTTTGGATTTTAGGTCAAAACCAGTGTACTTGCAACTGTTATGAGTATGTATAAAGTTATAGGTGTTTCTAAAAAAAGAGCCTAGTATTAAAATACCATTTTCCACAGCAAAAGAAAAATCCAAAAAATGTGAGTACAAATACACATGTATACTGCGTACGTTCAAAATTTTATAACATTATATTTTTACATGTGGCATACAGAAAAAAATATGTATTTCCAAATGAGCCGATCTTTTTTATTGCAGCGGAATTTTGCTTTTCTTTGTACAGCCTATAAATCACAATATTTTTCAAACATTTTTTATAAATCAGTACTAAACACATACAAGTTTCCGGTTTTCTTTATTTTTTTATTTAAATATGTTTTTTGATTATTACTTTTAAATACCGAGCTCGTGGAGCTCGCCCTCTGAAGATCATGCGTTGAGTTGCTTATGTCCTTTGCTAATTGTGTGCATTATGGGCCTGTTTAATTACTCGCGTCATTTTTCTATTTTCGGTGAAGCTGACTCGGTGGAGCTTAGCCAAGGAAAAACAACCTCTAGGCTATGTTCTGCATTCAGTTACCAAACCGAGGAAAACAAATGCATGGTGTTTAGTTATAAATCTCTGCTCTCCAAATGCAATGGTCGGTTGTTTGGTTACGTGCGTACGGATGGTTAATCCCACCTTATGTCCACATGATGAATTTACCTAACATCGTCACACTTGAAGAAAATTGTCTATAAGCGTCAAAATAGTATCCCATGGTGAGCGCACGGCCGGCCGATTGAAAACATTTTCCTTAAAAATAAAAAATGATGTCACATTTTCAATGATTGGCCACCAAAAAACTCAAAAAAAAAAAAAACGTCTCGGTAATCTCTTCATACTCGTTCCAAGTTTAAAGTACCTTTTGACCAAGGAAAACCCCACTTCAATTATGGCGAGTTTACCTGTGTTAAACTAAACAGGACAACGCCTTCACGGCGTCGTTCTCCTTCGTGAAGGCATTGTCTTATTTGCTCGTGGCGTCCTTGGTTCTAGATTTGAAGATGTTAGTCGTCTAATTGTTGGTTTGGGTTGCTTCTTAGGACGGTGAGTTTAGTTTAGTTTTGTTCTGTTTGGGTTGAGCATCTCATATCTCTCTGCTTCGGGCATCATATTCATGCCTCTTGCGTATGTGCCATGTGGTGTACCGCCTCTTATACTCACTCTAACTTCTTCTATCATTAGAATGATACGCAATCTTTGCGTATTCGCAAAGAAAATTGCTTTAATAATCATCATCATGGGAAGTTGGCATGTTTGGATGCAAGGAATGGATGAATCTTTAAACATCAGTTACCTAATTTGAACTCTTGGTGCTTCTCCCTTAGACAAGATCTACTACTTCTCACTCACAGGATTAAGCCTAAATTTGCAGGTGCTTTTAAAGAGTGGATTACAGCCCATATTAGTTGAGACCAAGTCTTTTTAATCATGGTGTTTGCAAGAACTGGCATTGGATAGGCAAAGAGGCTTTGTAAAAAAAAAATCTTCATTTTTTCTTTCGTTTGGCTTTTGCATATACTCTCCATATCATAATAGATGACGTTTTAGCAACTGAGGTAGTATATACTTATTTTAATGAAAATACCATAGAACGATTGTTCTACCGTTTCTGGGTCAAAAAATGTGTACAAGAGCCAAAACAGCTAGAAGCTTGCGGGGACTTCATCATACCAGGAGGTAGTTATGGAAGCCACTATGAGTATATATCAAGGGTTTGTGAAGAAAAATGTATCCCCTTGTAAAGTCTCGATTGCCACAATTTTCACAATAAAAGCAAGCCAGGATTTCCAAAGGCATTACTGCACCAGAATCAGATTATTTAGGTCCACGGCCACAGACAGCAAGGAAACAGAAATTGATCCGAGGGCTAGTACGCGGATACTAGAGAGACAGGCGCGGGTCCGTTAGATGAGGAAGACCAGTCCTGGCCCCCAAAGCTCTGCAGCCGCAAGCAGCCTGCAAATCAAATACAAATGCACACACCATTACCATTTCATTTTCGCCCGTAATGCAATACTAGTAGTAGTCAAATGCAGCAGGCCTTACCACTTGTGCTGCGAAAGGTAGCATCTTCTCAACTGGCATGCCGGTGCATAAACCTAATCAAAAGGCACAATGAATCAGCTCATCGAAAACCTCTCAGCGGTCATCAGTCACAATTCATAACAAAGAAAAAATGCCTCCAGTTCAAAATCTCAAAGACATATGAATAAGGAAATCAGATACAATAGCACCGAGGTATGCGTTTTTTGGGGGGATCTACTATTCCTTACTCTTTGCCACATCAAGTATGATCAGACCTTCAACACTTTTGGCAGTACAAATTATGTGAATACGAGGACATGGCATATGGAAGCGTATCGTTTACCGCAACATATGTCCGGTTAAAGATTACAAGACCCGCTAACATAAATGATGAAAATGAACACATATTGCTGTTGTTTAGCATAAAAAACAAGTCATATACTTATTTTCAATCAAAGGGGCCTCACCGCCTGAGCTCTGTATCACCTACTACCCTTACCATCCAGAAGTTAAAACATTTAAGAAGTTGTATACTTACCATATAGAACGGCTCCAATGAATGCATCACCTGCACCAGTTGTATCTATGAGCTCTTCAGAGGGTATAGCTTCAGCTGTACCCAAAAGTAACCTGCCACTCATCGAGCCAACGCCATCTGCACTTATTCTCAAATTTGACTACAGAAGCAGACAAATGAAAAACAGTAAGTATGAATTCGAATCTTATAAGCTGGATTTATAAAAGAAGCACACGGTATCATAAGTTAGCGTCCAAGCTAGTAACTAAAAAAGGTAGCAAATACACCCTGAAAACTACAAACAAATAAGGTACGTCAGAGAAAGGAACTTTAGACCGCGGAACAATTCTTTTGTGGGTTCATTTCTTACAAATTATATTTATTTATAACTAAATAGCAATAGATTTCTGTTATTATTATTTGTGGATATATATTTGCATTGTTTTCTTTATTTTACTTCAAAATCTTTATCTAAAACAATCAAATTCAAATGACGAGCTACTAATAAAGTCAGAGAACACCTGAAATGTTTCGTGCAATCAGATAAGCTTCTAATGAGCGAAAACTGAAAATGTACATCTTTAGAGCTTAAAGGATAAGACATGTAGGGAATTTTCTTTGGAGACTAGGCTATACCATAAACCAATATAATTATAGAATACTGTCTTTGATAGTCCAGGCCCCGCTCCACCATATACACTTTATTCATATATTTTAGAAAGTACAGACAATTCAACATACTAAAATAAGACATGCATTTTCCATTTTTTCTTTATTGCGAACCCTTTTTGCAAGGTTTATGTTTATTACTTTGATCAAGCTAAAGATCTTCAATTTCATATTCAAGAATTATTGCAAGCAGACACCCACAAAAAGATAGCATACCTTGGAAGCAACGCATTTTGCCATGCTAGAACTCAAATCGACTTTCTGCTCTAAAGATTCTAGCAGATCCTCTACATCGGTTTCCTCAGTCTCAGAAGCATCTGCAAGTTGAGTTGTCCATTATATGTTTCTTTATATCAAAAGGAATCACCATCAGATCCCTTGTAAGCAAAATGCACATCCTAGGTGTTTGTTTTTTGTGAAATGCTTAGCTAAAATTGACACGGAGAACTACAATAAACTCACCTGTCATACTTCTTTCAAGCATTAAGCAACCTTTTTCTCCCCGGGTTACAATAACGAACTTGAGATTAGGTAACCTTAGAAGCATGTGTACCAAAGCAACTGGTGTCGATGAGGCTCCTGTCCAGGCCTGCATATTAAGATTAGGCGAAAAGAATATAACTATAGGAATACTAGGGATCTCAGATGCTGAACAAGGTGATTAGGTAAGCCTTGCTGCTCAAATGACTTTAATCAATTGTGCTAAGGAATAACCATCAAACAAAAGATATCCACAGAAGCTTCTCAAAACATCAAACTCCTTGACTAAGGTAATGTAGTAAATAATTAAAGATGCGTAGGTACAGTTACAGCATACAACATAATGTAGCAGAGCTTACTCTGTTGTCGTTGGAAACAAAAAAACTCACCTGAGGAAATTTTGCAGAGCATACAACATATGATGCAAAATTCAGAAGGTCATCCAATCCCTCCCGCTTTTTCTCTGCGTCGACCAAAATAGGAATTTTTCTTTGGCTTGCCTGCACTGGATTGATCCCATAAACGAAGATAAATCTCAACAACAATGTGATGAGAGAGAAAACAAGAACAGAAAAAAAAATTGCAACATTAAGACAGAGGAAGTTATGGGTTGATTTTTGTGCGACATGCCGACATTCAGACATAACACAAGACTTTTGTTTCTGATATTATTGGCTGATCATCAATGTATGGAAGTGAAGTCGAATATTATGTATGCACTCATGTTTAAAATGCCTATAATAAGATGAAATGTTATGTTGAGGCAGGAAAATGTTACCTCTTCTGCAACAAGCAAAGCAGTCTCATGCAGTCTAACATCAAAATACACCATGTCTACGCCATGTAAAGCAGCCAACAAGTTTTCCTTTGTGAGCTCCTCAGGCTTCATTGGGGGATAACCAGGAGTGTGTATGCAAGTACGAGTTTTCCTGAAAACGAAAAAGGGGGAATAAAACAATGGTAAGGAGCAAAATACTCGTGCCTATATCTGTAGTAACATCGTCATTTGCAAAACAGAGTGGTAAGGAATACGAGAATGAAGATCACGTGTATAAAAACAGGACAACAACAGCACAGTTTGTTCTTTGGATTTGTCACTCACGTCTGGTTATCGACGATTATATAGGTGAACGGTGAATTCCCCCCATCTGCTATCTGGAGTACGAAGATATATTTAGCCATATAAAGGAAGTAGGATTAGGATGGATGAATGCTGCTGCTATGATAAAACAAAGGACCATGATATGGGAATGGAATAATGGAGTAAGCCAATTACAATACTGCATTACGTATTATACCGTCATATAGGAAGTGTCTACTCCGTCGTCTTGCAGCTCCTTGAGAATGTTTTTTCCCAGTGCATCATTGGACGCCTACTCCAGAAGTAAGAGCAAGGAGTGAGCAGTGGGGTGATGTCGAGCGAAGGAACTAGGTAGGTGGTGATAGTGAAGGACGGGTGCGGCCTTTACCTTGGATATAATCCTTGGGCTGAGGCCCAGGCGAGCGGCTCCGGTGAGGGCGTTGCCGGCGTTGCCACCTCCCTCGACCTTGAGCGCGAGGCTGCGGATCTTGTCGTCGGGGTTGGGGAAAGAGGCGACGGTGGCGAGGTAGTCCACGGAGACGGCGCCGCAGCCGAGCACGAGGGGCTTGGATTGCTGGGGGGCGGAGGCGAAGGCGGCCATGGGAGGTGGGCAGCGGCGCCGGCGGGGAGGAGGAGAGGAAGGAGGATTGATCGGAAGTGGAGGGATGTGCAGCAGCGTCAGCATTATTTTTCTTTTTCCTTTCTTTATGGAAACTATATCAAACAAGTCAACTTGACGGCGATGAGAGGTCCAAGCGAAACCATCTTCCATAAACACAAACCAACTTGCGGATAAGGCAGGCCGGACATCACATGGATTCACCGGGTCAGCCCACTCCACCTTTTTTGGCGCTGAAGCTGGAGTTTTTTTTTTAGATTCGTTGATTCAAAACATTTTATATCTTGAATTGTGTGTCAAAAACCACCGAACTGTTTTCATTATTTGATTTCTCGCGTTGAGATCTTCGAAATTAGATCGCATGTTAATAGATTTTGCTGAACTTTTTTCATGAAAAAATAGAAACCAGGAAAAAAATGAAAACCTGAAAAAAAACGAATACCACGGAAAATCTGACAAAAAATAAAACTGAAAAAAAACAAAAACGATGCCAAAAAAGAAAGAAAAAATTCAGCCCGAATGGTTGCGTTTTTTTAAAGGACGGGACATGCTTTTCTTTCTTTCGGTTTTTACATTTTTCTGAAAGCACATGATGTGCTACTTGTAGAAGCACAAGCCGTGCTTTTTTATTTTTAGTAGAAGCACGGTTATGCATCTCGTGGAAGCAAATATGTGCTTCTCGTGAAAGCATAAGCAGTGCCTTTGGCCAAAAAAAAAAACCGTGCTTCTGGCAGAAGCAAATATGTGCTTACACTTAGCACAAAGTTGTTTTCGCGAGAAGCACACATAACTTTTCCATCAAAAGCACTACATGTGATTCCACAAGAAGCACGGCATATATTTTTTCAAGAAGCAAAGATGTGCTTCGCACAAGAAATCTTTAAAACCTAGAAAAAACCAGGCAAAAAACAAAATGCCAACAAAACTCTAAAACCCAGAAACACATACATAAAAATAAAAAGATAAAATTAAGGGGCAGCGTTCGGCACAGGGCCGGTCCTAAGATTTTGAGGGCCCGGGGCGAAAGTAAAATTTTGGGCTTATTAATACTCGTAATAATATGTGGATTGCATATGACTATACAATCATGTCACGGCACATAATTCATAAGTAAATCTCTAAAATAATTTTTTGAACTTTGGATCGTAAAATGCACGAAGACAAAAATAGGAAGTACATAATATAGATTAAATGACTTTTTTAATTGCACAAGAGTTTAAAGCTCTTGAATTTGCAATGATGGGAGTGAATATACATGCAATCACATAAGACAATTTGTAAGGGCTGTAAACTCAAATCTATTGAAAATAAATTTGTGCCAAAATACCGCAAAAAATCCTATGAAAATATCTCATTCCAATCTAAGAAACTTTCAGCACTAAAGTTCTACAATTTACTTAAAGTAAAAGCAGCTTCACCATTGGTCCAATTAATTAGTTTAACAGAAGTGATATAATTTGTAAGTATGATTACAAGCATGTATACCTCACAAATGGCTGAATTTCAGCACGGTAATACGATACACCTTGGATTCACATCCGTTGATCGATAATCTGGGGCTTGACCATGACACGATGTGGAATGAACCGGCGTCTGGCGGGAGGCGGGAGGCGCTCGGCCATGCGCCCATGCGGTCTGGCCGTGCATGCCCGTGTGCGTCCGGCGCATGGAGACTGGAGTCTCGCGAGAGGAGTTCGTCGGCGTCCGAGCATGGGCACTCGCGATCGGAGCGCTGGGTCTGGTGGAATTAGGGATAAGTAGCGATCTTTTTTTTACGATAGTAGTAGCAACGTTGTTAGAAAAAAAATGATTGCAGCGATCTTGTTGGAGAAAATTGTGGCGATCAAAACGAAAACAGGGCAGGCCCCGTGTACTGAGCTATCTACGTCATTGTTTTCCTATTAAGAGAAGAGCGTCCGGATGCCATGAAGGACGCGGGCTGCTTGCTGGACCAGGGAATTTTTTTCACGATCTGCACTTTGGGCTAGTATATACACCTGGCTGGGGAGGGGCCCCTGGGATGTTGGGGGCCCGGGGCGGCCGCCCCTTCCGCCCCCCCTCAGGACCGGCCCTGGTTCGGCATGCCACATGTGGCGTCGGCTAGGCACACCCCTTGATGCACTCCTGGTCTGGAAAAAAATGACCTTAGGAGCCCCGCAATGATAACAGTTCGTTAGTTAGTCCCCAGATTTGAGGTTACCAAATCCAGGGAGCGCGAGAGCTATGCCTCATCCTTTCCGATTCCTATTAGGAATCGCCTACAACGGGCCACTGTCAGGATGACCCATTAGCGCAAGCCGCCAGCTGTTGCTCGTGTCGCTGTAAATTTGCTCTGCTTCTGCTTATTTTTTTATTGGGTTTTTTCACAGGCTTTCTTTGTGTATTCTTCATTTTTTTTTCACTGGTTTTATTTGGGTTTCTTCATTTCTTTGTTATACTTTATTTATTTTTGTTTTTCTACTTTTTTATTGGTTTTCTTTTTGTTAAGACATTTATAATTTTTCTCAGTACACAACGTATATTTTTAGTGAACACATAAAATATATATTTTTTATACATGTTGGATATTTTTCAAATACATGATGTATATTTTTTAAATACATATTTTTAAACAGTTTTTTGAATACACGGTAACATTTTCCGAGTACAACGAACTGGGCCTAACTCAAATGGTTAGGCTCCTTGTGGTGGAACGATTCAGTCTTAGACTTGGCGCTGGTGCTCGCCTTTTCTAGGATTCATTCTAGGCTTTTCGACGATGTTCGTTCAGTGGGAGTAGAGGTTTTCATCGACTACAAGACATGTGGTGACTTTGTCAAATCTCAAGATATTGTGTCGGCTCAGTATCTCGAAGGTGCTAATAGTGGTAGGGTGTGCATGCGGTGTTCATATAGATGGTATGTGCGTGTAAGTGAGCATCTAGGATTGTGCTATATGAAAAAACATTTTCCAAGTACATGTTGTTGGAGCAAATCTCAATCTTGAGTTATCAAGTGCCTTGACACATTTTTTCGATGTATCCGAAAGTTGTTATTATAATTACCCTGTTACGAGTAACATTTGACGAACCCCGAAGTTCACCATCTGGCATGAAGGCGCTCGATACTCTCATGGTCTAAGAAAGTGAGTGTACGTTAACACTTCTTTGATAATACTAATATCAATGTGACAATGTGTTCTCGTAGTATATCATTTGATTGGGTCTATTCAACACCATTGTTCTGATAATAATGTGCACTCATTGTTGTCGGCATCCTTGTGACTTTAACAATGCCCTGTGATAAGAAAATAAAGATCATTATGCAACACATGAGCTAGTCTTAGAGACAAGACTAGAAGCTTATTTTGTGTTTATGTTTTCACAAATGCAACTGAGTTTTTTTTCTTCTGAAACTCATATTCAAGAATCATTACAATTATAGCACACAAAAAATAAACATTAATTATTGTAAGTGCATCTAGTGCCACCCCTAGTTGGTTTTGGAGTACTGACGACAAACTTGGTTGAGGGACTAATGTGTTTGTGAGAATTGCAGGATAATACAGGTAGTAGTCCCTCATTGATTCGGTTTACCTACCGGAGATGACCCCTAAAAATGTGTGAAGACATTGACAATGTGATCTGTGAAGCTATTCACGTTGAAGACTATGACATGAGAAGACATCACGTGAAGACTATGGAGCTGTAACGCCCCGGATCCGATGCGCCAGGTGTCTGCCAGTTATCCGTCGTTGTTGCCATGTCATTTGCTTGTGTGTTGCATTTTATCATGTCATCATGTGCATTTTATTCTGCATACGTGTTCGTCTCATGCATCCGAGCATTTTTCCCGTTGTCCGTTTTGCAATCCGGCGCTCCTATGTCCTCCGGCGTTCCCCTCTTCTCTCTTTTCGTGAGTGGGTGTTAAACTTTCTCGGAATGGACCGAGTCTTGCCAAGCGGCCTTGGTACATCACCAGTAGACCGCCTGTCAAGTTTCGTGCCATTCGGAGGTCGTTTGGTACTCCAACGGTTAACCGGGTAACCGTAAAGCCCCTCTTTCTTTGCAGCCCAACACCTCTTCCAAAGTGGCCCAAAACCCATCTAACTCCCCTCCATGCTCTCGGTCGTTCGATCACGATCGTGTGGGCGAAAACCGCTCCTCATTTGGACTCTCCTAGCTCCCTCTACCTATAAATATGTGCCCCTCCCGGATTTTTCGCGCAGATGAAACCCTAGCCTCGTCTTCCTCCGCGCGCCGGACATGTCCGGACGGCGCCGGACATGTCCGCCGCCCTCAGCCACGTCGCCCCGGCGAATCAGCCGCCGCCACGTCATCGCGCCGCCGCCCCTGCCCAATCTGGATCTGCCACGTGGCCCGCCGCCACGCGCCGCCGCCGCG